CAAACTCCAGCAGCTACCGTCATTTGATCTGCTGTAACCTGCCCCCTTCACACCCCTTCTCACCTACCCCTCAACTCCCCTCTCCCTCTCTCTCTGTGTGTCCCGCCCCCTCCCTCTCCGCCCATCCCCCCCCATGCAGGTACTTCACCAACTGTCTGAACACGTCAGCCAACCCGGCACTGGCGGATCAGACGCCGCAGGACCCCGCGGAGTGCACCAAGTTCTACAACACCCTCAAATTCGGTAAGCCCCCCTCCGCCCTCCCCCGCTCTCCCGGCCCCATCCGTCCCCGGTGTGCTCCCACTGCCGCCCAGCTGTGCTCCCACTGCCGACCACTGTCCCCCCACTGCCGCCATTGCCCCTTACGCCACCAGTTGTGGCTCCCTTCCGCCACCAGTTGTGGCTCCCTTCCGCCACCAGTTGTGGCTCCCTTCCGCCACCAGTTGTGGCTCCCTTCCGCCACCAGTTGTGGCTCCCTTCCGCCACCAGTTGTGGCTCCCTTCCGCCACCAGTTGTGGCTCCCTTCCGCCACCAGTTGTGGCTCCCTTCCGCCACCAGTTGTGGCTCCCTTCCGCCACCAGTTGTGGCTCCCTTCCGCCACCAGTTGTGGCTCCTCCTCTCGCACCGCCCCCCCTCGCTCCTCACCGCCCACTCTCTTCCATTCTATTCCATTCCCGTCCCTCTTCCCCCCTCCTCTCTCCAGCCTCGCAGCTCTCGAGCACGAGCTACAACGGCACGGAGACGGTGCAACCAACCGAGTACGTGCCGGCGCCCATGATCATCGGCATCACGGTGTCTCTCGCCCTCCCTGCTCCCCTCCTTCCCCCTTCCCATTCCAGCCTCGCAGCTGTCAAGCACGAGCTACAACGGCACAGAAACAGTCCAGACCACGGAGTACGTGCCGGCGTCCAAGACGCCCATGATCGTCGGCATCACGGTGTCGCTGGCCATCGCCATCGCGGCTGTGGGCGGCGCCATCTGGTTCCTCTACTACACCAAGCGCGGCCAGAGCATCTCCAAGATGTTCACCAAGGGCCTCCGCCGTGAGTGCCCAAGCTGCTTCCTCCCCTCCCACTCCCCACACTCTCTTCTCTCTCTCTCTCTCCTCCTTCGCTTTCCTCTCGCCCGCCTGCACTTTTTCCGTTCGCCTTGCCCCGCAGGGCCCCATCCTCACATTCTCTGTTCCTCCTCCCCCGCTTTCCCCTTTTGCAGAGGCGACGCGCGAGTTCACGTTGAAGCAGATGAAGGCGGCGACCAACAACTGGCAGACGGTCATCGGCAAGGGAGGCTACGGCACCGTCTACAAGGCCACGCTCAAGGACGGGCAGCTCGTGGCCGTGAAGCGTCTGGACCAAGTCTCCAAGCAAGGCGACGTGGAGTTTATCCGAGAAGTGGAGCTGCTGTCCCGCGTGCATCACCGGCACCTGGTGAACCTGGTGGGATTCTGCGCTGAGAAGGGCGAGCGCGCGCTGATCTACGAGTACATGGCCATGGGTTCGCTGTATGAGCACCTTCATGGGGAGAGCGCGAAGGAGTACCCGCTGTCGTGGGACAGCCGCACCAAGATTGCCATCCACGTGGCGCTCGGGATTGAGTATCTGCACTATGGTGCCGACCCGCCTCTCATCCATCGGTGCGTTCTCCGCTCTCTGCCTCGCTGCCGCGTGCCTTGTGCCTACTTGCCTTGGGCTGTTCCAGCCATTTCACTCCTGCCTATCGCACAATGCTCCTGCTCGTGCCTATCGCACAATGCTCCTGCTCGTGCCTATCGCACAATGCTCCTGCTTGTGCTCACTCCTTTACCAACTATCGTGCCACCTTGGGCTCTCTTGTCCCTCTTTAACAGTGATATCAAGTCCGCCAACATCCTGCTATCCGACGACGGGTACTCCAAGGTGGCGGATTTCGGGCTCTGCAAAGAAGCGCCCATCGGGGCGGGTGCGGACGGCGGAGAGCAGCTCGTTCCCACGGCGACAGCGGTGCGGGGGTCGTTCGGGTACCTGGACCCCGAGTACGTGAACACGAGTATTCTCTCGGAGAAGTCGGACGTGTACAGCTACGGCGTCGTGCTGCTGGAGCTCATTTCCGGCCACAAGTCCATCCACGAGTGGCAGCCCCTCGCCTACTGGGTGAGTGCTGAGGGACTGCTGGGTGACCTGCTGGTTGAGTGATGGAAGTCGGACGTGTACAGCTATGGTGTCGTGCTGCTGGAGCTCATTTCTGGGCACAAGTCTATTCACGAGTGGCAGCCTCTCGCCTACTGGGTGAGTGCTGAGGGACTGCTGGGTGACCTGCTGGTTGAGTGATGGAAGTCGGACGTGTACAGCTATGGTGTCGTGCTGCTGGAGCTCATTTCTGGGCACAAGTCTATTCACGAGTGGCAGCCTCTCGCCTACTGGGTGAGTGCTGAGGGACTGCTGGGTGACCTGCTGGTTGAGTGATGGAAGTCGGACGTGTACAGCTATGGTGTCGTGCTGCTGGAGCTCATTTCTGGGCACAAGTCTATTCACGAGTGGCAGCCTCTCGCCTACTGGGTGAGTGCTGAGGGACTGCTGGGTGACCTGCTGGGTGAGTGCTGAGGGACTGCTGGGTGACCTGCTGGGTGAGTGCTGAGGGACTGCTGGGTGACCTGCTGGGTGAGTGCTGAGGGACTGCTGGGTGACCTACTGGGTGTGTGCTGGGTGTGAGCTGGGTGTGTGCTGGGTGTGTGCTTTGTGTGTGCTGGGTGAGTGCTGGGTGAGTGCTGGGTGTGTGCTGGGTGTGTGCTGGGTGAGTGCTGGGTGTGTGCTGGGTGTGTGCTGGGTGAGTGCTGGGTGAGTGCTGGGTGTGTGCTGGGTGTGTGCTGGGTGTGTGCTGGGTGTGTGCTGGGTGTGTGCTGGGTGTGTGCTGGGTGAGTGCTGGGTGTGTGCTGGGTGAGTGCTGGGTGTGTGCTGGGTGTGTGCTGGGTGTGTGCTGGGTGTGTGCTGGGTGTGTGCTGGGTGTGAGCTGAGGGACTGCTGGGTGACCCATTAGGCGAACTTCTGGAGCAGCCTGCTGCCTGCATGCTCCTCGTAAATCCATTGTTTTCTCGTATGTTCTTGCTAACGAAATCCTTGTGTGCATCCCCCTGTGTGTTTGCCGGTGTGGCCATGTGTGGTGGAATGGAGTGCAGGCGGAGGAGTACCTGGCGGACAGGGAGAAGACCCCTCTCATGGTGGACCCCAAGCTCGAGGGCAACTTTGATCTCGACGAGCTCTACGCGCTCTGTGACATCGCACGCACCTGCGTGCAGGACCAGGCCGTCAACCGCCCCACCATCCGCGACGTCGCGAAAGCCCTCGTGGAAAACCTCGGCCACGCCACGTCCAGCTACGCCGGCAGCCACCGGGACTCGGCGTCTATCATGTCGTCGTCCCAGTCAGACGCCACGTCACTGCCGTCCTCGTCGTACCCGTCCACGTCAGAGTCGTCGGAGTTTAGCTATCAGAACTACTCGGAGACGCTGCACTGGACGCCCGGGGATGACAACTCAAATGCGCAGTCGAGCAAGTCGGGGTCGGTGGCCCTGTCCAAGGGCGCCAAGGGCGACCACTTGCCCGTGCCTGTGCCGCGCCGCCCGGATTTCCCCCCGGATGAGGCGTGAGTGACTCGAGCAGAGGAGTTGCAGTAGGGGTTGGCTGTGATGGTGTGTGGGGATGGAAGGTTTATGGCGGGCGGAGAGGGGTCTGTGAGAAATGGGTTGTGTGAGGTGGTGTATATGGGCAAGAAGCGCTGATTGTGCTCTTGCATTTTCACACCTACCCGAGATTGCAGTTTGATTGCAGTGCAGAACTCTTGCATATTTCCTGTTTCCTTCTGTTACCACCTTGTAATTTATCAGTTAGATATTAATGTAAACACCCGTTTTAGGTGTGCTGTTTCTAGCAAATGTTGCATTCTCTTGCCCAGGCCAAGGGGCATTGGTGTATACTATCTGCTGAGCTCAATTCCATAAGGTGGTGTACAGTTGGTGTAGTCGGTTGTTGTGTGTCATTTATAGCGGGGAGGACGCAACTTCGATAGAAATCAGACGCGTGTTGAGAAATTTGCTGACTCGTCAAATACTCAGCGGGCAGGCAAGGCCTCACTGGTTGTTGACAAGATACGGAGCCCACCAGCAAGACCGAAGCGGTGTGGTTGGTGCGGGGAAATCTGCGCAGCGCAGGGTCCAGCCAATCAATTGTTGCTGCCCCAACCAGCATCCAGACCAGGCAGGCAAGGCAATCCGATGACACCCAGCCAGCCCGGCACATTCCCCAGACTGCCCTACACCTGCACCAGCCGGCCAAACCCTTTGCGTCCCCGAACCTAATCCATACACCAATCAAGCCTGCCTGCCTTTTCAAAGCCAGCCAATGAAGAGCCTCAACTCTGACCCCCCTGACTTCCGGGAGCAAAGCGATTGATCCAAACCAATTAGCGCTCAGAGTTGAGTGCGCTGTCGACTCCGCCACGTCCCCCGCTACCGTGCGAGACGCCCTTATGAAGGTAGGTGCGCGCGCGCATGATGGTTGGCTCAGAGCGTAGCGCACAAGCGGAGTGTTTCCGCCAGCGTGGAAACGCTGCGCGTCGAGCGCTGCTGGCATGGCAAGTCACCCAACATGTCATCATTGAGAGGAGAGATACTCCACCGCCATCGTGTCAGCATTGAGGGTTGTTGAAACGTGAGCTTGAAAAAGATATTGATCCAAACGTTCACGCTTTGAAGAATCACGCCTCAGAGTTATGTCGCGGTTCGATCGATTAGGGCGGGACCCGCAGCGCAGAGCTCAGCAAACTCTGGCTCCGACATAGAAGCATCCAACCGTCTTATTTATTGACCTGTCATAACAATCGTATTGTAGACGCTATGAGCTGAAAAGCATCGGTTATTTTCAAGGCAATCGCAAGGGCATCGTTCACGCGGTTCACTTTGTTTCTGGGAATTATCAGTAAGTTCACGCGGTTCACTTTGTTTCTGGGAATTATCAGTAACCGCACGTATGGGTGCGTGCCTGGGCAAGCCGCTAGCGGATGGCGATCAACAAGGAGGGCGGAGAAAACACAAGGGCCGACACAAAAATGCCGCACCGGAAGAGCCGGAGGAGTTAGTCTTCGCAAATGAGAAGCCGCCGGAGAAAGGCGCCGCGGAGGCGCAACCTCAACAGCGGAACGGCGAAATTGCTGAAGGATCGAACGCGGGAGGGGGGGAAGCAACCGGGGGAGGAAATGGCGCGGGGAGCGCGTTCGGGGCGGGCGGTGGGGGAAGGGCGGGGCTGAGCCCGTTCGAGGATCCGCGGAACAAGGTGTTCGAGTCGCCCGCAATGTCGGTAATGGGCACTCCCGCCATCCACCTGTCCAATTTCTCCCCCGCGCCCGCCACCTTCGACGGGCTCGCGGGGAGCATTCTGCAGCAGGCGGCGGAAAAGGCGCGCGTGAGCCGGCTGCGCGACGACGAGCGCGGCAAGCAGATGGACGCGGCGGAGGGCGCCGCGGGGGCGGGGAACCAGATCCCCGTGGGCGTGGTGGTTGGCGGAGGGGGCGGCGGAGGGTTCGGCGCAGCGGCGGGCGCAGGGAGCGCGGGGGCGGGGAGCAGCGGAGGATCGGGGGAGGGGCATGAGGGAAAGGAGCTGAATAAGAAATTCGGGTATGCGCGGAACATTAACGCCAAGTACGAGTTGGAGCACGAGGTGGGGCGCGGGCACTTCGGGCACACGTGCGCGGCGACGGGGAAGAGGGGCGAGGTGAAGGGCGTGCAGTGCGCCATCAAAGTCATTCCCAAGGCCAATGTGAGCCGCGCTCCGGGGTACATTGGATTATTACCCTGTGAAAACGGGTGTATGTTTGTAGACGCATTCTAGGGTTTTGTGGACGTGGCACTGCTGTGCCAGGTTAGGATCCTCCTTGCTCTCCTTCCTCCCCCGCTTCTCCCCCTCCCCTCTCCCCCATCCCTTTCTTTCAGTAATAGTGGCACTCGATCCTTCCCTCCTTCCCCCCACTCGCCCACTATTTCCCCCCACCTTCTCCCCTCCTTACACCCACTCGCCCCCCATTTCTTCCCACCTTCTCCCCTCCTTACCCCCACTCGCCCCCCATTTCCCCCCACCTTCTCCCCTCCTTCCCCTCACTCGCGCCCCATTCCCCCCCACCTTCTCCCCTCTTTCCCCCTTCTCTTCCCCACCCACAGATGACGACGGTGATAGCGGTGGAGGACGTGAAGAGGGAGGTGCGGCTGATGGCCTCAACCCTGTCCCACCGCCCTCCCCCACCCAACTCCCCCCTTGCCACTCCCTTTCCCCTTTCTCTTCCCCCCACAGATGACGACGGTGATAGCGGTGGAGGACGTGAAGAGGGAGGTGCGGCTGATGCGCGCGCTGGGCCCGCAGGAGTTCGCCGTGCGATTCTTTGACGCCTACGAGGACCAACTCAACGTGTACATAGCCATGGAGTGAGTGCTGCTATAACGAGTATTCAGCATACATAGCTACCTAGCTCATCATCAGTTCCACAGCCCAACCTACTTCCCTCCTGCTTTTCCTCTCCTCCCATCTCCTGCACTCTTTACAACTCTCCCCTGCTGTCTTCCCGTTTCCCTTTGCCCGTCTCCTCCCCGCCCCGCCCTGCCACCATGGCCCATCAGGTTGTGTGAGGGCGGCGAGCTGCTAGAGCGCCTGCTGCAACGGTAACGCCCTTTTCCCTCTGCTTTCCCACTCTTGCGTTTACTTTCTTTCTCGCCACCTTTCTTTCTGTTTGCTTGACAACCCTCTCTCCACCACTCTCCATCACTCTGCATTACTCTCCACCACTCTCCACCGCTTTCAGTCTGCCTTCCTCTTCGCCCCATTGCGTTTTCCATCACTGCTGCACCTCTCTCCTCCCCTCTTCAATCCTTATCCCCGTCTCTCTCGTTCGTCCCCTCTTCAATCCTTATCCCCGTCTCTCTCGTTCATCCCCTCTTCACAACTCACCCTTCATCCCCTCTTCACAACTCACCCTTCATCCCCTCTTCACAACTCACCCTTCATCCCCTCTTCACAACTCACCCTTCATCCCCTCTTCACAACTCACCCTTCATCCCCTCTTCACAACTCACCCTTCATCCCCTCTTCACAACTCACCCTTCATCCCCTCTTCACAACTCACCCTTCATCCCCTCTTCACAACTCACCCTTCATCCCCTCTTCACAACTCACCCTTCATCCCCTCTTCACAACTCACCCTTCATCCCCCTTCCCCCACCCCAACCCATCCCGCTTAACCTCCCGTCCGCGATTTCACCCAGGGGAGGCAAGTACCCGGAGCACGAGGCGAGGGAGGTGATGCGGCAGATCCTCAACATCATTGCCTTCCTGCACCAGCAGGGCGTCGTGCACCGCGACTTAAAGCCCGAGGTCCGTCACCAACTTGAAGCCACTAGTGAAACAAGCCGTTACTACAAACAATAGGCCTAGCTGACTCTGTTGATAATTAAGTAATGGTGTTTCTTCTCCTAACGCCCTCCCCCACCTCCCCAATCCCCCCTTCCCGCACATCCTCCCTCCAACCCTGCTCTCACTGTCACCTGCCACGTGCCACCACCACCCTCTGCCATCAGAACTTTCTCTTCAAGTCACGGGACGACGAGGGGTCAGCGCTACGAGCCATCGACTTCGGCCTCTCCGACTTCGTGCGGCCAGATCAGAAGCCTTTTGATGCACCTCAAAGTCCCCCTACCACCCACCACCCACCACCTCGTCACCCCACCCACCCACCCTCCCCTACCACCAGAACTTTCTGTTCAAGTCACGGGACGAAGGCTCAGTGCTGCGAGCCATTGACTTTGGCCTCTCAGACTTCGTCCGCCCCAACCAGAAGCCTGTTGATGCACCTCAAAAGTCCCCCTACCGCCCACCATCCCTTCACCCCACCCACCACCCTGTACCACCAGAACTTCCTGTTCAAGTCACGAGACGAGGGCTCAGCACTGCGAGCCATCGACTTCGGCCTCTCCGACTTCGTGCGGCCGGACCAGAAGCTCAACGACATCGTAGGCTCGGCGTACTACATCGCCCCGGAGGTGCTCCACCGAGCCTACGGCACCGAAGCTGACGTGTGGTCCGTGGGAGTCATAGCCTACATTCTTCTCTCCGGGTCCCGGCCCTTCTGGGCGCGCACGGAGTCGGGCATTTTCCGTGCCGTGCTGCGGCTGGAGCCGAACCTGATTGACGCGCCGTGGCCCGCGGTGTCGCATGCCGGAAGGGACTTTGTGCACCGCCTGCTCACTAAGGACTACCGCCGCCGCCCCACTGCCGCCCAGGCGCTGAGTGAGTGGCAGGCAGACGAGAGCACCCTCCACCACCCCTCTCCCCCAACTCATCCATTCGAACCAATCTGCTCAGCAGCAGAGCAGCCTAAACTCACCTTTCCCACTACCCCACTTCGCGCCCCCCCTCCTCTCCGTCCTTTTCCCCTCAAACCCCACGTCTCCCCTGCGCCCTGTGTGCAGCGCACCCGTGGATCCGCAGCAGCAGTGCGCGCATCCCGTTGGACATCGCCGTGTACAAGAGCCTGCGCGCCTTCTTCTCCTTCTCTCCTCTCCGCCGCGCCGGGCTCAAGGTGAGTGGTGGGGCGAGCAGGGCTCATTTGGGGGTGGTGGGGCGGGCGGGACTCATGGGAGGGTGGTGGACATGGGGAGAGGCTGGGGTTTGGTTGGGAGAGGCTGGGGTTTGGTTGGGAGATGCTGGGGTTTGGTTGGGAGATGCTGCACCCTGTGCCCACCTGTCCTGAGTGGTGGGCGCGGTTTATTTGTTTTGAACATGAAGGAAGACGATTTTTGAGTCATCTATATATCCCTCCCTTCCCTCCCCCTCCTGCATCCCCCCACCCCCTCCTCTCCCCTCCTGTCCCCCTCACCAGGCGTTGGTGCCAACACTGACAGAGGACGAGTTGCTGGTATCTGGACGCCTATGGAATCGCATTTTTTGAAACAACTAAAACCGTATCTTCTCCTTGCTTCTTTTCCCTACCCTCTCTTACCCACCTCCCACCAGGCGTTGGTGCCGACGCTGACGGAGGACGAGTTGGTGTATCTGAGGGCGCAGTTTGGGTACATGGACGTGGACGGGGATGGGCTCATTGACTTCAACGACCTCAAAAACGTGAGTGAGCCTTGACCTGCGTTGACTCTGACATGATGCTGAATCCCGACTCTGTTGACTCTCCAGCTCCTTTGAGCATCCCGACTCACAATTACCTCTCATCAAAGCACCCCCTCCTCTCGTGTGCCATCCGTGTGGCGGGCGAAATCAATCCAGTAGTCACCTTTCGCCGTCCCCCCCTCCCTCCCTACACCCTCCTCTTTGGTGGCTCACAGGCGATGCAGCGCGTGGCAACAGACGCGATGCGCGAGTCGCACACCATCGACCTGCTCAAGACGGTGAGGGGGGAAGGGGTAGGGAGTGAAGGGATTGGAAGTGGGGTGGGGTGCGGCAAGGGAAGCATCAGGGTGGCCTTTGAGTCTGCTCAAAAGTCGGGGATGCGATGAGGGAGTCACACACCATCCACCTGCTCAAGACGGTGAGAGGGGTGGGCAGTGAGGGTGGGGGTAGGGAGGGAGGAGCGTGGCAGGCTAAAGTCGGTTGCTTCTAGTGTTTCAGCCTCTTCCCTCCTCCCCTCCTCCTCCTTCCCCCCCGTTTCCCCCAACTCACAGCTCAGCTCGACGCCTTCCCTCCACCCCCATTATCCCCCGTCTCTGAGAGTTTCCTCCGATGCGTCCCTTGCCCCTCTCTCCCCACCACCAGCTAGAGCCAGCGCGCATATCCCGGATGCCCTTCACGGACTTCTATGCAGCAGCGCTCAACGTCTCTCCTCATCTTCCCCTTATCCCCTGCCTCTTGGCAATCCTTCCCCACCCCCCTCCACCCACCAGCTAGAGCCAGCGCGCATATCCCGGATGCCCTTCACGGACTTCTATGCAGCAGCGCTCAACGTCTCTCCTCATCTTCCCCTTATCCCCTGCCTCTTGGCAATCCTTCCCCACCCCCCTCCACCCACCAGCTAGAGCCAGCGCGCATATCCCGGATGCCCTTCACGGACTTCTATGCAGCAGCGCTCAACGTCTCTCCTCATCTTCCCCTTATCCCCTGCCTCTTGGCAATCCTTCCCCACCCCCCTCCACCCACCAGCTAGAGCCAGCGCGCATATCCCGGATGCCCTTCACGGACTTCTATGCAGCAGCGCTCAACGTCTCTCCTCATCTTCCCCTTATCCCCTGCCTCTTGGCAATCCTTCCCCACCCCCCTCCACCCACCAGCTAGAGCCAGCGCGCATATCCCGGATGCCCTTCACGGACTTCTATGCAGCAGCGCTCAACGTCTCTCCTCATCTTCCCCTTATCCCCTGCCTCTTGGCAATCCTTCCCCACCCCCCTCCACCCACCACCAGCTAGAGCCAGCGCGCATATCTCGAATGCCCTTCACGGACTTCTGTGCGGCGGCACTCAACGTGTTTCAGCTGGAGGCGCTGCCCAACTGGCCCGAGCGGGCGCGCGTGGCGTACCAGACGTTCGTGAGAGGAGGCAAGGCGCATGTGACCATTGACGAGCTCGTCAAGGTGAGGCGTCTGGCTTGCCTCGCTGCCTCTGCTCCCTTTAGTCGACTGTAAAGTCACCGTCACCACGTGTGACGTACCAGACGTTTGTGCGCGGAGGCAAGGCACACTTCACCATTAACGAGCTTGTGAAGGTGCGTCGGATCTAGAGTCAGTTCTAAAGTCACCGCGTGTGGCTTACCAAATGTTCATGTCACCATCAACGAGCTCGTCGAGGTGAGGGGAGTTTCGGTGCGGATGTTGTAAACCATGTGCTGGGCATTCTTTAACAGATGGCAAGATGCTTCTCGTGACCATCAGAGAGCTCGTCAAGCTGAGGCGTCTGGCTTGCCCCAGTGCCTTGGCTCCCTCTTGAGTCAACTCCAAACTCACCGCATTTTGCATACCTCCCTCTCTGCTGCCCGCTCTCTGCCCCACTCGCTATCATCTCCCACCACAGGAGTTGGGCCAAGTGGAGTCGATGGCCAACGCGGCCCTGCTGGACGAGTGGACCAACTTCGACGGCACCGTCAGCTTCCTGGGCTTCACGCGCCTGGTGCACGGCCCCTCGCGCGCGCGCAAGCAGCGCCACGTGCGCGCCAAGCCCAAGCCCTCCGTGTCCCCCACGTCATCGGGGAGAGTGAAGCACCCCCCGGGGGGCTCTGAGATGAAACCCATCCCGGAGGATGGCGGGGAGGGGAAGGCAGCACAGGGTAGTGGGGCGATGGGGCAGGGGCAGGCAGGAGTGCATCAGCAGCAGCAGCAGCAGCAAGGGCAGCAACAGCCGGTTCAATACCAAGCCCAGCAGCAGCAACTGCAACAAGAGCAGGTGCAGGCGGATCTGCATTCTTTCAAACCCTACCAGCAGCAGCAGGCGGTGCCACCGCAGGCGAGTGGGGAGGCAGCGGGATTGGATGCCACAGCAGCAGTGGCAGGGCTGGGAATCCCCATGTTCCAGTCCTACTCGCAGCAGCCGCAGCAGCCGCAGCAGCAGCAGCCGCAGCAGCAGCAGCCGCAGCAGCAGCAGCAGCAGCAGCAGCAGCAGCAGCAGCAGCAGCAGCAGCAGCAGCAGCACATGGGGGCATTGGGGGAAGGGGGAAGGTCGAGGGGGAGTGCTTCTGGGGGGAACAGATTAGGGGCGAGCCGACTAGGGGGGAGCGGGTCAAGGGGAGACGCGATGAGTGGGGGTACGGGAGGGAGTGCGAGTGAAGGGATGGATGCGCAAAGAGCAGTGGGGGAGTATGGAGGGGGGGTTGTGGGGAGTAGCAATGGGGAGGGCGAATCGGCGGTGCGGCAAGCGAAGGGTGCGGGATCGATTCCAGACGGCATCATGTCGGCAGAAGAAGCGGTGGCGGCGGGAGGGCTGTGAGGGGGGGAGTGGAGGAGGGTTGTGAGAAGCACTTGTGTGCCGGAGATCCCACAAATCACTTTGTGGAGATTGGATGGAGCTGTGAGCATGCACCACGTGTGCACGCAGTATGTGCATCAATTCTGGAACGCCAACCGGAGACAGTAAGTTAAGGTGCAAGTGCTGCCGCGGCAGCCAGCTAACCAGCAGGCAGACAGGCAGGCAGGCAAGGAGGATTGGGAAGGCACTCTGCTCTACAGAGCACACTAGGCCCTGGTGTCACTCACTACCAAGTGAGGGCTTGAGCCTTGTGGCAAGAGCAATTATGAACTCAATCGAGAGTTATATGGCTGTAAAAGAACACTGTGCATAGAACGTGCAGTGCAGCCTCAGCTTAATCTTGCAGCTTCCAACCCAGTAGTGCAGCAGGCTGTGTGCCATGTGCAGGGGCCATGGATTGTGTCAGACGCTTTTCACACGGATACAAGGCCACTAGTATACTGAAAAAGGTATACGCATACAGGAGCATTTCCTAGCCCAAGCACCATCACACTCCCCTCCTCCAACCCCCACCCCCCCACTCCCCTCAGTTTGAGATGACTTGTCACATTTGCGAAAGGTATGTTAGCGGAGTGACTAAAAACAGAAAGAGAGGTTCAATATTTTGCAGGGACAAGAGGCAATCCCAAAACAACTTGCTTTCTTTTGTTGTGCTTCACGCAACCCTGTTTCATGGTACCGTACAAGGGATGGGGACCAGTGACTTGAGCAATTAGGAATTAAGACTTCTGTTACCTACGGTATGCTACACCCACTCTTGTCTCCTTGCCGAGCACGCTGGGCAGAGTGGCCCTTCAAGGGCACAGTAAGCATGGTGCCATGAGGGGACAAGGAGCAGACATGTTGAAGCCTCACTGCTGCAGCTACAGCACAAAGCCTCACTGGCCGGAGTGGTCTGGATGAAACAGACTTGCTTGTGTGCGGGGCAAGTTGCGTGTCACGGTGAGCTACACTACATGCCACGTAGGCTGCGTGTGACACATAAGCTATGTGTGTCAGTCGGATGTGTGCCACGTGGGCTATGTGCGCACCCAGGTGTTGCGGTAGGAGGAATGGTCCTTGAGTGAGGCGTCGTGCGGCTTGTACTCCTGGTGGCGTCACAGGCAGGGAGGAGGTGAGGGCAGGGAGGAGGTGAGGGCAGGGAGGAGGTGAGGGCAGGGAGGAGGTGAGGGCAGGGAGGAGGTGAGGGCAGGGAGGAGGTGAGGGCAGGGAGGAGGTGAGGGCAGGGAGGAGGTGAGGGCAGGGAGGAGGTGAGGGCAGGGAGGAGGTGAGGGCAGGGAGGAGGTGAGGGCAGGGAGGAGGTGAGGGCAGGGATGAGGCAAGGGCAGGTGAGGACGCGAGGGCACATGGAGACAAGCAGAATGAGGGAGTGGTGGATAGCATGAGGGGGTGATGGATGGCATGAAGGCGAAAGGCATGTCTCACCATGGTGTAGGATGGTGGAAGGTTGAGGTGCTTCCGAATCGACTCACACAGCCTGTCCCGCGCCTGTTGTTACACTCCATGCCATGCCCATGCCATGCCATGCCATGCCATGCCCATGCCATGCCATGCCATGCCATGCCATGCCATGCCATAAATGAGAGAATGGCAATCAACACACCCAATCATAGAAAACAAAGACATTGATTGAACATGTGGTGGTCAACACACCCAATCAACCAAGTAAGGACTCCCACGTGATGTGATGCGACTGTCCTGCACTCCTTAGGCTGATTTAACAGCAAGTGCTGCACCCACCAGGCTGTGCGGTGCAGAGCGGTTCCAGATGGAGAGAATGTCTTCACCGAAGCGCACACTGAGCACCACCCCGCACACCTCCTCGGCGCCCTCCAGCTGCTCCCCCGCCACCGCCATCAACTGAAGGGGGGGAGTTGGAGCGGATGCAAGGGGGGAATGAATTGAAGATTGAATTGAAGATTGAAGGGAAGATTGAAGGGAAGATTGAAGGAAAGATTGAAGGGAAGAGGACCGGGACACAGGTTGGCACACCCACCCCGCACACCTCCTCCACGCCCTCCAGCTGCTCCCCCACCACCGCCATCAGCCGCGGGGTTGATTGGTGGGATGAACGGGAGCAGGACGGAGGCACATGTCATACCAGCTGCTTCCCGTCTGCCTCTCTACCCCTCTGCCTCTCACACCCTCTGTCTCCCCCTCTGCCTCTCACAACCTCTCTCTCTCACCCACTCTGCCTCTCTACCCCTCTGCCTCTCACCCCCAATCCGTGCTCTCCGGCTGCTACCCTTTCTGCTACTGACCATCTGCCCCCTCTCTCTCGAGTTCATCGCTGCCCCTCCTTGCAACAACTCACCAGCTGCTCCCACATGCGCGCAGTGAGCGGCTTTCTCAGGCGCACCATCCACTTGCCCCCCCGCCGGTTGTGCGCGTCCTACAGGGGGGCACGGGGGTTGGGAGGAGGGGACGTATGGATAACGGAAGGAGGAAGGGGGGAGAGGGAAAGGGGGGGTGGACGCACAGAGGGCGAAGAGAGGGGGTAAGCTACAGGTTGCTGCATACGAGAAGAAGGGGCAGAGGTGGAGGAGGGGATCAGCAGGGCGGGCTGGCGCATCTGGGCACAGAGAGGGAAGAGAAGAGGCCAGGAGGCGAAGACCAGGAGAGAGGGTTGAGCGGTGTGGCGGGCGCGCGCTCACCTCCCAGAGCGGGCGGATGCCGTCCTTGAAGACGTGCACGTCCGTGGGGGCAAGAAGTGCAGGGCAGAGGGGATACACTCTGAGCAGTGGCGCGTGGGGGAGGGGAGAAGGGGGGGGCTCACCTCCCAGAGCGGGCGGATGCCGTCTTTGAAGACGTGCACGTCCGTGGGGGCGGGCAGCGCGGATGGGCGCACCATGCGGCAGTAGCACCCCCAGAACCCCTCCACCTGGGCGGGTGGAGAAGGGGGGTGGGGAGACGGGCAATGGGGAGTGAGGGTGGTTGGGCGGTGAAGTGATGTGAGATGAAGGGGAGGAAGGAAGTGACACGCATTCTCGCGAACCCATGCTGCTACAGAGCGAGTTACCACTCTACCCCTTTCCACCATAGAGCCACACCCTGTGTGCCCTACTCCCCCACCACAACAGCCCACAGCCACGCTCACGATGCTCAACTCCCTCATTCGCCCGGAGCGTTCTTCTCGGCCGAATGCTCCCCTACCACCCCACCCCCTACCTCCTCCCCCCTACCTCCCTCCCCCTATCTCTCCCGATTCCTCTTCCCCTCTTCCCCAAACCCCCAACCAGCGACGCACAGTGCTGAAGTCAGCGATGCGGCGGATGCTGTCCTCATACGACGTCGCGCTGCGCTGCCCGGGCGGCTGCCGCTGCCGCCGCGTGTACCACACCACGTAGCGCGTCTGCTTGCAGCGGGGATGGAGGGGTGGACGGATGGAGGTGCTCAATGCAAGAACTCGATTCACTCGGTGAAGCTCTGCAAATGCAGACACCTGTCTAAAATATTTCGATACAGTCACAATGCGGAAGCGCACCTGCAGCGGGTGCAGTCCCAGCTTGACCTCGCGGCTCTGCCGCTCCGCCTCCTCCCACTCGCGCGCACGCCCCTGCTCCCCGCGCGCCTGCTCTTCGTGCGCCCAGCCCCCGCGCTCCTCGCCCTCGTCGTCCCTGCGGGCAGGCGCACGAGGAGCGCGCAAAGGAGAACGCGCAGGGGTTGGGGGGGACGCGCAAAGCCCGCGGACGCTCGGCAGGCGCAGCGGGAACGGCAAGACAGGGAAGGGGACAAGCCAGTGCGGCGGGAAGCGGAGGGAGAGAGGCGGGGCTCGCGTACCTGGAAGATCGGAGGTCTGCCATGTCTAGCGACTCGAATCTTGTCGAGCCGAACGCAGTGAGCAGCGTCTACCGGTTTGTGGGTGTTTGGGGGCTGGGCTTGTATTTAGCCGATATTGACGAGCCCGACATTGCCTCGAGTGTTGATTCGCGTGTGAGCTGGTTCTGTGTAACAGAACATTTTATCTCACTGTTTCGTATAATAAGTTGGCATTTTGAGTTATATGAAGTTTATTCATGCAATCAGGCCAAATTCGGGACATTGAGATTTTTTACTCAGCCCCCCAACCGCTCATAACACCTGATTCTGCCCGTGCTGGAATCTTGTTTCTGGTCTCGAATTTGCCGTATCCTGCTGTTGCGCCCGCACGCACAGAAGCGCGTCACGAGTCACAAACAAGCAGTCCGCCTCGCTCTGCACGTCACGTCCGCTCGCCGCGTCTCCCGCATGCCGCTGCCATGCCTGGCGTCAGCCGCGCACCACTCGGCGTTACTCTACATTCACGCCTGGGGTCGCGAGGTCACGCCTGGGGTCGCGAGGTCACGCCGGAATGGGGATGCAAGAGATCAGTGGGCGGAGCTTTCTCAACGGTTGCGCCGAATGGGGATGTGAGAAGACATTAGTCGACGGAGCTCGCGAGGTGGTCAGTCTCACCGAGCCGATAGGACGAGTAACGCCAACTTCTGCCATCGTCGGTACTTGGGTTCTTCCTTTGTGACGCGGGACGGAACCAGCCTGATAAGTGAAACTCAACGTTCACTGTACGCTGATGCGTCAATCAAGGAACGCTCATAGCGCGCGATGCTGTCAGCTCCCCTCGTTCAGCCATTCATGGCGGCCCATTCTTCGCATCCCGCGAGGCTGCCGCTGCTCCTCATTGTGGCGTCGCTCGCAGCCGTTGTAGTCACCGCGCAGAGCTCCTACAGCATTGCTGACACGCTTCCTCGCTCTGCCTCCACCTCTCCGCCGCCATCCGCCAACCCCTCGCCCTCCGCCTCTCCGCCGCCATCCGCCAACCCCTCGCCCTCCGCCTCTCCGCCGCCATCCGCCAACCCCTCGCCCTCCGCCTCTCCTCCGACCCCTGTCTTTGCGCCTGCGAATACGTCTGCCTCGGCGCCGCGGCTTCTTCCGTCCGCCGCTGGCGGAGACGGGCTGGGCGGCACGGCGGGTGGGAATGGATCCGACAGTCGCAATAACGCGTCGCTCATTAGCGGAATATTGGATGGCGAATATGGCAGGTGAACGCGATGCAATGCGTGTAATTCGATGCTTCCACACCCGGTACTTGAGTGATGTCGTAAGGGGCAGCCATTCCATACCATGCCATGCCATGCCATGCCATGCCATGCCATGCCATGCCACCACATCCCATGCCCCAATGCCTCCAGGTACCTGCAGGGGGGACTGACGGCGCACGTGTGGGGGCAGCCACTAGTGACATCGCAGCGCAATGCTGCCACCTACCCTGCCATCAACGCGCTGCAGCGGCAAACCAACATCACCACCGCGCAAGACCAGGTGCGCTTCGTATAAGACTCAAACCAGCTGCTAGGCTGGCCTGGTAATTCGGTAACCAAGGGTGCCATGTGCATGGGCTGCGTGCATCACTTCACACTCTTCCCTTCGCCTCTCCTCCCCCTCCTCCCACCTCCCACTCCGCCCAATTTCCCCTTCCTCCCCACTTCCCCTCCCCCTACTTCTTCCCCTTCGTCCCCTCCCCGTCCCCTTGCATCCTTCCACCTACCCAATCCCTCTGCACCGCAGTCCACCATCCCAGTGTCCAACACGGACACGCTCTACGCGTCAGCATGGCTGGACCTCGCCGCGGGCCCTCTACTGCTCTCTCTGCCGCTGGTGCCCCAGCCGCGCTACTACAGCGCGCTGCTGCCCATGGGGCCGGGCCGCTTGCTGTCATGGTGCAGTGGCAGGGGCAGGGGCAGGGGGGAGAGGGGACCGACTTTAGTCAGGCAGGCGCAGCAGGGGGGGGAGGAGGGGGCGGGGGCGGGGGTGGGGGTGGGGGTGGGGGAGGGGGTGGGGGTGAGAGCGGGGGAGGGGGCGGGGGAGGGAGTGGGGGTGGGGGTGGGGGAGGGGGAGGGGGTGGGGGAGGGGGAGGGGGAGGGGGAGGGGGAGGGGGAGGGGGAGGGGGAGGGGGAGAGGAGAAGGCCTCGAGCAGCAGCGACACAGTATTGAGTGTGAGCAGCAGGACTCGCAATGTGTTTGTGATCGTGCGCGTGCTGGTGGCGGGGCCTGATGACGTGGCAGCTGCCAGAAACCTGCTGAGGTAAACGGCCAGGTGCTGACATGACCAAACACCCGTCACCCATCACGTACCACCCATCGCCCATCGCCCACCTCTCAGGTCACTCTGCTATCGACCCTGCCTCCCTCCTCACCCCCTCCTCCCTGTGCCTCCCTTCTGCTCCCTACCCCGCTCATTCCGCTTTTCCTCCCCTCCCCATCCCCCCTTCCCAGCAACGTCACTCTTACGCGCCCAACCACCAACGCCCCCCCCCCACCCCCCTGCCGCCGCCCGACCTCTCTGAGCTGGCGGGGCTGCCAGATGGCATGCAGCGATTGGTGCTCATCGACCGCACACTACAGGACAACCCGCCCGCCCAGGACCAGGCTAACCTCGAGTGAGTCACAATCCCGTGTTGCGCCCTCATTATACCCACATGCTTGCCTAACTCCCTATAATTGTCACACGCCCATGTGATGACGTCATTTTAACTCTCCATGCACCCCCTCTTCCCATCCTCCTGCCCCTTCACCCCTCTCTTCCTCTTGTTCCGTTCTGCCTCCCCCTGTCTCCTCCCTTCCCTCCTCCCCCACAGGGCACTCAGCCAGCTGGCAGGCATAGGCATCTCCCCCTCCGCGCCGCCCTTCTCCCCCGCCGCCCTCTCGCCGCTGCAGAGCACCGCGCTCGCGCAGGCGTACGCACTGGCGAATGTGACAATAAGGGGCGCGTACGCGCTCATGCTGCTGGGGGTGAACCGCTCTGTTGTCGTCAACCGCTGGCTCGCTGACACGTCGCTGGGCTAGTGCGTTGGGGGGGGGATGAGTGGGTAGTTGGTTGGGGCGGGTGAATGAGGGCGGGAGTGATTACATGCGCAGGCAACAGCACTGTGGGCTGTCAATTGGTTTCCCCACGCACACAATGCTGCATTGCATAACCTAGCTCTCCCCTTCTCCCTGTTTTCTCTTGCTTCTCACCCTCGCCCTCTCCATCTCTCTCTTTCCCTTTTCCTCCGCCCCTCTCCTCCTACCATCAGCTACGGCGATCGCTTTCTGTTCAGAGCGGCCTTCTCATCCACAGGGGGTCTGGGAGCGCTGCCCGCATCCGAATCGCTCTACTTCTTCACCTGGCAGGGGCCCTTTGGCCTGCGCTACGACGGCTCCTCCGCCAACTACTCGCTGCACCTCTCTCCACCGCCCGTCACCGCGTGCGGCTTCTGGTCGCTCACAGTGTACAACGCGGACGGGTTCCTCCCCCCAGGCATGTGGCGGAACAGCATCGGGGATCGCACCAAGGGGTTGGTGTTCAATCCGGACGGCACACTCACTGTTCCCATCCAGCTGGCCGCGCCGGCCAATGCGAGCCTGGGGGCCAACTGGCTGCCGACACCGAATGCAACGTTTTCGGTGGCGCTGCGGGTGTACTGTCCCTCGGAGAGTGTGCTGAATTGGGAGTGGCGGCCTGAGGCCGTGCAGGTGGTGTGAACTTGAGGAGGAGCGTGGCTTGTCAAGTTGATGATGACTATTGAGCTAGGTAGTACTTGGATCCTAGCCTCACAGCCTGCCAGCTAGAGATTTCGTACAGGGAAAAGGATTGTACCGGTACTAGAGTATACTACAGGGGAATGCTTTGTGTTGAAGTGATTCTCCAATATGTAACGCGCGCATCTTGAGATGTCCCAAAACTTGCCCTTCTTGACTGCAGTACCCGGCACAACTGCCACCCGCACAACCGCATCCCAGCAGCATGCCCAGGCAGGCAATGGCAACAGCAGCATACAGCATCTTACAGCCCGCATCTGAGAGTGGTTGAGGCGCATCAGAAGATGATAGGCCGTAGTGAAGGCTTTTGAGCGGATTCAATGATGATCCAAGACGTGAGAGGCCACACTGGCCTGGCGGGCGAGTCACACTGAAAGGTCCAGGATTGCCTGCAGGCGCACGGCGAGGGCGAGCAGCTCCTCGTCCCACCCCCTGGGCGCCACTAGCCCCAGCCCCAGGGGGCTCCCCTGCAGCGTTGTCAGCGGCACCGTCACCTGGGCAAGCAGAGGGTAGCGCAGAGGAGGGGAGAGGCAGGGGACAGGGGGGAGGACGAGAGAGAGGGAGATGTGGGGTGAGGAGAAAAGGGGACAGGGAATACACATGGGTGTGAGAAGAGAGAAAGATAAGAGGGGCCATCAGTCTGATAGGCTGAAGGAGAGGGTATCAGGATTCAGGACACATGGGGCCATCAGTCTGAGAGGCTGAAGGAGAGGGTATCAGGATTCAGGACACATGGGGCCATCAGTCTGAGAGGCTGAAGGAGAGGGTATCAGGATTCAGGACACATGGGGCCATCAGTCTGAGAGGCTGAAGGAGAGGGTATCAGGATTCAGGACACATGGGGCCATCAGTCTGAGAGGCTGAAGGAGAGGGTATCAGGATTCAGGACACATGGGGCCATCAGTCTGATAGGCTGAAGGAGAGGGTATCAGGATTCAGGACACATGGGGCCATCAGTCTGAGAGGCTGAAGGAGAGGGTATCAGGATTCAGGACACATGGGGCCATCAGTCTGAGAGGCTGAAGGAGAGGGTATCAGGATTCAGGACACATGGGGCCATCAGTCTGAGAGGCTGAAGGAGAGGGTATCAGGATTCAGGACACATGGGGCCATCAGTCTGAGAGGCTGAAGGAGAGGGTATCAGGATTCAGGACACATGGGGCCATCAGTCTGAGAGGCTGAAGGAGAGGGTATCAGGATTCAGGACACATGGGGCCATCAGTCTGAGAGGCTGAAGGAGAGGGTATCAGGATTCAGGACACATGGGGCCATCAGTCTGAGAGGCTGAAGGAGAGGGTATCAGGATTCAGGACACATGGGGCCATCAGTCTGAGAGGCTGAAGGAGAGGGTATCAGGATTCAGGACACATGGGGCCATCAGTCTGAGAGGCTGAAGGAGAGGGTATCAGGATTCAGGACACATGGGGCCATCAGTCTGAGAGGCTGAAGGAGAGGGTATCAGGATTCAGGACACATGGGGCCATCAGTCTGAGAGGCTGAAGGAGAGGGTATCAGGATTCAGGACACATGGGGCCATCAGTCTGAGAGGCTGAAGGAGAGGGTATCAGGATTCAGGACACATGGGGCCATCAGTCTGAGAGGCTGAAGGAGAGGGTATCAGGATTCAGGACACATGGGGCCATCAGTCTGAGAGGCTGAAGGAGAGGGTATCAGGATTCAGGACACATGGGGCCATCAGTCTGAGAGGCTGAAGGAGAGGGTATCAGGATTCAGGACACATGGGGCCATCAGTCTGAGAGGCTGAAGGAGAGGGTATCAGGATTCAGGACACATGGGGCCATCAGTCTGAGAGGCTGAAGGAGAGGGTATCAGCATTCAGGACACATGGGGCCATCAGTCTGATAGGCTGAAGGAGAGGGTATCAGGATTCAGGACACATGGGGCCATCAGTCTGATAGGCTGAAGGAGAGGGTATCAGGATTCAGGACACATGGGGCCATCAGTCTGAGAGGCTGAAGGAGAGGGTATCAGGATTCAGGACACATGGGGCCATCAGTCTGAGAGGCTGAAGGAGAGGGTATCAGGATTCAGGACACATGGGGCCATCAGTCTGAGAGGCTGAAGGAGAGGGTATCAGGATTCAGGACACATGGGGCCATCAGTCTGAGAGGCTGAAGGAGAGGGTATCAGGATTCAGGACACATGGGGCCATCAGTCTGAGAGGCTGAAGGAGAGGGTATCAGGATTCAGGACACATGGGGCCATCAGTCTGAGAGGCTGAAGGAGAGGGTATCAGGATTCAGGACACATGGGGCCATCAGTCTGAGAGGCTGAAGGAGAGGGTATCAGGATTCAGGACACATGGGGCCATCAGTTTGAGAGGCTGAAGGAGAGGGTATCAGGATTTAGGACACATGGGGCCATCAGTCTGAGAGGCTGAAGGAGAGGGTATCAGGATTCAGGACACATGGGGCCATCAGTCTGAGAGGCTGAAGGAGAGGGTATCAGGATTCAGGACACATGGGGCCATCAGTCTGAGAGGCTGAAGGAGAGGGTATCAGGATTCAGGACACATGGGGCCATCAGTCTGAGAGGCTGAAGGAGAGGGTATCAGGATTCAGGACACATGGGGCCATCAGTCTGATAGGCTGAAGGAGAGGGTATCAGGATTCAGGACACATGGGGCCATCAGTCTGATAGGCTGAAGGAGAGGGTATCAGGATTCAGGACACATGGGGCCATCAGTCTGAGAGGCTGAAGGAGAGGGTATCAGGATTCAGGACACATGGGGCCATCAGTCTGAGAGGCTGAAGGAGAGGGTATCAGGATTCAGGACACATGGGGCCATCAGTCTGAGAGGCTGAAGGAGAGGGTATCAGGATTCAGGACACATGGGGCCATCAGTCTGAGAGGCTGAAGGAGAGGGTATCAGAATTCAGGACACATGGGGCCATCAGTCTGAGAGGCTGAAGGAGAGGGTATCAGGATTCAGGACACATGGGGCCATCAGTCTGAGAGGCTGAAGGAGAGGGTATCAGGATTCAGGACACATGGGGCCATCAGTCTGAGAGGCTGAAGGAGAGGGTATCAGGATTCAGGACACATGGGGCCATCAGTCTGAGAGGCTGAAGGAGAGGGTATTAGGATTCAGGACACATGGGGCCATCAGTCTGAGAGGCTGAAGGAGAGGGTATCAGGATTCAGGACACATGGGGCCATCAGTCTGAGAGGCTGAAGGAGAGGGTATCAGGATTCAGGACACATGGGGCCATCAGTCTGAGAGGCTGAAGGAGAGGGTATCAGGATTCAGGACACATGGGGCCATCAGTCTGAGAGGCTGAAGGAGAGGGTATCAGGATTCAGGACACATGGGGCCATCAGTCTGAGAGGCTGAAGGAGAGGGTATCAGGATTCAGGACACATGGGGCCATCAGTCTGAGAGGCTGAAGGAGAGGGTATCAGGATTCAGGACACATGGGGCCATCAGTCTGAGAGGCTGAAGGAGAGGGTATCAGGATTCAGGACACATGGGGCCATCAGTCTGAGAGGCTGAAGGAGAGGGTATCAGGATTCAGGACACATGGGGCCATCAGTCTGAGAGGCTGAAGGAGAGGGTATCAGGATTCAGGACACATGGGGCCATCAGTCTGATAGGCTGAAGGAGAGGGTATCAGGATTCAGGACACATGGGGCCATCAGTCTGAGAGGCTGAAGGAGAGGGTATCAGGATTCAGGACACATGGGGCCATCAGTCTGAGAGGCTGAAGGAGAGGGTATCAGGATTCAGGACACATGGGGCCATCAGTCTGATAGGCTGAAGGAGAGGGTATCAGCATTCAGGACACATGGGGCCATCAGTCTGATAGGCTGAAGGAGAGGGTATCAGGATTCAGGACACATGGGGCCATCAGTCTGATAGGCTGAAGGAGAGGGTATCAGGATTCAGGACACATGTGGCCATCAGTCTGAGAGGCTGAAGGAGAGGGTATCAGGATTCAGGACACATGGGGCCATCAGTCTGAGAGGCTGAAGGAGAGGGTATCAGGATTCAGGACACATGGGGCCATCAGTCTGAGAGGCTGAAGGAGAGGGTATCAGGATTCAGGACACATGGGGCCATCAGTCTGAGAGGCTGAAGGAGAGGGTATCAGGATTCAGGACACATGGGGCCATCAGTCTGAGAGGCTGAAGGAGAGGGTATCAGGATTCAGGACACATGGGGCCATCAGTCTGAGAGGCTGAAGGAGAGGGTATCAGGATTCAGGACACATGGGGCCATCAGTCTGAGAGGCTGAAGGAGAGGGTAACAGGATTCAGGACACATGGGGCCATCAGTCTGAGAGGCTGAAGGAGAGGGTATCAGGATTCAGGACACATGGGGCCATCAGTCTGAGAGGCTGAAGGAGAGGGTATCAGGATTCAGGACACATGGGGCCATCAGTCTGAGAGGCTGAAGGAGAGGGTATCAGGATTCAGGACACATGGGGCCATCAGTCTGATAGGCTGAAGGAGAGGGTATCAGGATTCAGGACACATGGGGCCATCAGTCTGAGAGGCTGAAGGAGAGGGTATCAGGATTCAGGACACATGGGGCCATCAGTCTGAGAGGCTGAAGGAGAGGGTATCAGGATTCAGGACACATGGGGCCATCAGTCTGAGAGGCTGAAGGAGAGGGTATCAGGATTCAGGACACATGGGGCCATCAGTCTGATAGGCTGAAGGAGAGGGTATCAGGATTCAGGACACATGGGGCCATCAGTCTGATAGGCTGAAGGAGAGGGTATCAGGATTCAGGACACATGGGGCCATCAGTCTGAGAGGCTGAAGGAGAGGGTATCAGGATTCAGGACACATGGGGCCATCAGTCTGAGAGGCTGAAGGAGAGGGTATCAGGATTCAGGACACATGGGGCCATCAGTCTGAGAGGCTGAAGGAGAGGGTATCAGGATTCAGGACACATGGGGCCATCAGTCTGAGAGGCT